AGAAACAGATTAAGATAGACAGATAGATAGATAGATAGATAGATAGATAGATAGATAGAAACAGATTGAGATAGATAGATAGATAGATAGATAGATAGATAGATAGATAGATAGATAGATAGATAGATAGATAGATAGAACAAGAGCGGTAGTGAGAGAGGAGAGTTATAATCTATCTAATTTTCTGTCATATTAGAATTATATTTGTATATAAATGCAAACTAGAAAGAAAACTATTTTAAGGATAATAACTTATTCTTATACTTATATCGTCTCTTCAGACTATTGAAGTCATTGTCGTGTTATTTTAAAAATCCTTTTCAATCCCATGTAAGGCGACAAAAACTTCCACGGCGCAAAGGGCTATCGAGAGGGCAATGAATGAGCAAGGAGACAGAAGATGCCGATTTGCATACCATTTCAACTTTTGGACACTGTAGCTGACAGGAAAGCGGAGAGCCGAGAAAGAGTTCCAAAATCAAGAAGTGTCGGAAAAGAAACTTTTACCATAGAAATTTACGATTCCAACAAGCAATTTCGACATCATAATTATAAACAGGCGATCTGCGCTTAAATTGCTGAAGCTGAGATACCAGCAAGGAAAGAGCATCAGAAAAATTACTGCTAAAATATTTATAGAAAGGGCACAGGGAAGCTATGTTACGGCGATGGAAATGTGTCTAAAACCCAGATAACAGGTCATTGTAGATTGGATAACATTGGATTTTTTCAGGAATCTCTAGATATATAGCAGGAGCACCAGGCCATATACGGCATCAACATTCAAAGTACACTTAAATTCATAAAGTCTAGGTATCATAGACGAAAGTTCATTAGAATAATTACCATGAAAACATTTATAGAAAAGACACAGGCAAGCGACATTACGGGGGTGGGAAAGTGACTAAAGCCGTGATGACAGGTCAGGACCAATAACATTGTAGATACGTCTGGATTTTTTCAGGAAACTCTAGATATATATATCTGAAGCCCTAATTTTAACGGGTTTATTTTTCAGATTTATCGTCTTTGTAGCTTATATTGCTGGGTAAAAAACCTTTCGGTTGATATACATTCCTATTTACGAATTGTAAGAAAAAATAAATCAAATATATCCCACGAACGCAGGTGTTCCCCAAGACTCCATCCTTGACCCCACTCTATTCCTTATTTTCATCAACGACCTTCTTGATGCCATAGATTCCCAAGTTGGCATCTACGCGGACGAAACTACAATTTACTCCTGCCTCAAAAAGAAATCTAGTGTCGGCGACAAAACTAACCTGGCCGTGTGTCTTGAAATGGACCGCCAATCGGTTGTTAATTGGGGCAAGAATTGGCTGGTCAAATTTAACGCCTCAAAAACTAAACTAGTCTCTATTAATCACCATAGAGATCCTTCCCTGTCCCCCCACCCCATTAGAATGTCTGATAGTCAACTTCTTGAGAGGAACTCCCTGCGTCTGCTCGGTCTCATGTTGACTGCTGACCTGAGATGGAACAAATACATTGAGTCAATTGCATCGTCCACCGCGAGGAAAGTTGGCTCTCTGTGCCGCGCCAGGAAATTTTTCTCCCCGGAATCGGTACTTCAAATATACAAATCAACCATTCGCCCTTGCATGGAGTATTGGGCATATATGGGCTGGAGCACCTTCTGTTTACCTCGGAGTTCTTGACAAGACCTAGAGACGGATATGTAATATAATTGGCCCTGATCTGGCATCTCGTCTGCAGTCACTCTCTCAAAGACGCGTCGTCGCCTCTCTCTGTCGTTTTTACAAATACTTTCATGGTAATTGCTCCGATGAGCGGCTTTCACTGGTTCCCAGACTCCATGAATTCAAGCGCCCTACGAGGTTGGCATCCCACTCTCACGCTTACACTGTAGAAACGTGGCCGTCTCTTCTACTCCAATAGCTTCACACCTCGCACCTCTCGCCTGTGGAACACCCTTCCCAATTACTTTTTCCCTGAGAGCTATAATCTCCAACTATTCAAATGTAATGTCCATCGACATCTCCAGTTACCTTGATCTACCCACTATCCTTCTCCTCATCTTTCTTCTATCACTTCTATCTGCTCTCGCTCCAAATCTTCTGCAACCCCCTACATCCTAGTGGCTTCACGCCTTGCTCGGGGTTTAATGCTAAAAAAAAAAAAAAAAGCAACGCTATCTATGGCATTTCAGATTATACATATGAACTCTTGTTTGGGTGAATCTTTAACAGTTAGGCCGAACACCGAACTACTTCAATAATACAGACGATTAGTAAGAAAATAATTAAGAAAATAGCATTCGCAATATTAAAAAGGATAAATATCATATTTTGGTGGACTTAAAAGGAGACTGTTTTTTAGCCGAGCGAAATGTTTCTTAAAATTTACGGAGATTTTTCTTTCCGCCGGTCAGAAGATGGTCAAAGTCTGTTACCAATACGTGAAGACTTCAGAAACAACGGCAAACGTACAGAATATGATTCTTTTCTTAGAAGCGCGTGGTGAATAACAAACAGCAGGTATTGCTTCATTAAAAAAGGGATCAGTGAATGCGTGACGTGTGCTAATTGCTTTTGGCAGATAACAGAAATAGAAATCAAGGAGAAGAATAAAGTAATCTCTTTTTCTTGGGATCCGGGATACGCTCAACACACAGGTTTGCAAGTATCATTCGGCGATTCAAATTGAAACGGACTTCAATGCCAGGTCTTTGAATGATGGTTGACAATGAACAGAACTACATCGTGGAGGATCTAAGCAGAATCATGGTCTTTGATGAGATGCCAGTTGGCAAGTAACGCTGACCCAACAGACACTGCCCATTAACGTAAGCTCGACCGGAATAGAATACAAAAGAACGGTGGCTGTTTGGGTATTTTTTCGTGACTTTCGTTTCACCTGATGAGTTCGCGTGATTTGAATAAAATAAAAGAGACAAATGAAAAAGATGCACCAACGCAAAATTAACCAGCGGGATATTTTATAAATTATAATAGAAATCTTGTGACTGTCTCTATTGTTTTATGTGGTTCTTATTGAAGAAATAAGTATTATGTATTGATGCACGAAATGATCTCTTCACACATACGATGCTGACCTCCCTGTGAACTCACTCAGCGATATTTGAACCCTTCTACCAATAATATAGCATACCATAAATTATATATATATATATATATATATATATATATATATGTATGTTAAAAATCATTTTGAAAAACCTCGGTTAGCTCAACTTGTAATATAAAAAATTGATGTCCGAGGAAAAAAAATTGGAATTAAAAAAGAAAGAATGAAGAACATAACACCGTACAAAACCTCTCGTCAAGTTAGCATGTGCTCTTTTACTGATAAATATAGCATACCATAAATTATATATGTATACGTGTATATATATATATATATATATATATATATATATATATATATATATATATATATATATATATATATATATCTTAAATGCCATAAGATTATTGCATAAACTTTCATAACTGAATCAATAAGCTGGCAGATCCTCATACATCGAAACCGACAGGAGAGTCCATTATATATATATATATATATATATATATATATATATATAATATATATATAATAATGGTAAAAAAAAAGAAAAGAATCAAGAACATAACACTGTACAAATCCTCTCGTCAAGTGCTGGAGCTCCAACTCCAACTCCAAAAAAAAAAAAACAAAAGATGAGTAAAAGACAAAACATAAAGATTTCAATACAGTAAGTCGAGCAAAAACTAAATATATATATGTGTGTGTGTGTGGAGGATGTCTATGTTCATGAGAGGCAAATAGAGGTAGAGGTAGGTATTGTTAAGTATTCATTTTCTTTCTCTCTTTCACCCCTATCTCGATATATATATATATATATATATATATATATATATACACATACACATATACACACACACACACACACACACACACACACACACATATATATATATATATATATATATATATATATATATATATAATAGATAAAAGGTAAATGGTCAGAGTTGAATCTGACCAGGAAAAAGCAATATTAAAAAGTGATCAATAAACGTCTGAAACAAAATAAATATATCATGTAGAGCTTTTAAAATAACATGTAGAGGTCTTAAAAGCTAATCATGTGTGGAAAATAAAACAAAAAAAACTACAGGGATCCCTTTGTAAGTTAGAAAATGTTAACAAAAGATAAAACCGTACACCATTCAGAACAATATTTGCAACTTCTGACGTTTCCGGATCCCCCCAAAAAACAACTTTTAAACCAGAAATCCGTTCTGAAGTCCTTGCTTACATATCTGAAAAATTTTCCTTAAGTGCATATGAGGCTGGATAAAAAAAATCCCCTCCACCAAAATACTTACAATACACTTGCTTTTTTTTTTCTTCTTCTTCTTCCGTCTTCTTCAGATCCTCATCCTTCCTTTCTATTACAACAACGTAAATATATATATATATATATATATATATATATATATATATATATATATATATATATATATATATATATATATTATTAGAGAGAGAGAGAGAGAGAGAGAGAAAAAAATGGATAACGTTGGATTGAGAATCAGATTCAAATTTCAAAAAAAAATTTAAAAAGGTGAATCCTATTCTTCTCACTCCAGCTATGTGTTAATAGGGACAGACTGGTTCTATAGCCTTGGATGACAAGTCTGAAAAAACCAAGGGTCGTTTGGGGATCCTGTGGCAAGTACCATGTCTCAGTATTCGGTCCTTCAAAAAGTGTGGATCGTCCTGCACGAAACCTTCACCACTATAATCAAATATGTGCAGTTGTCGGGCATTTCCTAGAACTGCTCTATGACCTTCATACATCTAATTCGACGGGAGAGTCGATATATATATATATATATATATATATATATATATATATATATATATATATATATATATATATATAAAATTTTGTGTATATCCCCCAGACAGAGTTATAAATTATTGACAATTAGAAAAAAGTTCATGAAAGTATGTTTCAGAAACATACTTTAGTGAATGACAATAATTTATAATTCTGGTCTATATACACATTTATTACATATTGTCGACAAGGAGAAAGAAAGGATTACAAAAAGACAAAATTTCATTTATTTTCTACTCATTCTGAAGGATTTCTGTCTCTAAACTCGGACACTTAAAGCAAAGAACATAAAATTTTAAAGGAATTATTTTAAAAGTCGTCATAAGAAGGGAAGAAAAAAAGATTTTCTTATTTTAAACGCACACAAATACATACGCACACAGCTCATTTTCCCCCTTCGATCTGATGAAGGCTAATCGACAAAATGCATAGTTGGATGTTTTTTTTTTCGAAACATACTTTCATGAAAGTTTTTCAATTGTCAATAATTGATATATATATATATATATATATATATATATATATATATATATATATATATATATATATATATAATAAATAAAAAACCATCAAATCTTTAGAAATTGCTTTTTTTTACGTTAGAATATAAAACTGAGCGAATATGAATATTCAGGGAATCTGAGAAAGATTTGCGTTTATAATGCACTATTCCACTTTCCTTCAGTGGCGACGTTAGATCTAATGACCGTTTCTCCAGCCAAGTGGGTGAAGGTTCGAATCCTGCTAAGGAATATAGCACATCAGAACATTTTCCTTGGAAATAGCAATAGAGTAGCGAAAGGCTTGCGATATTGCGTCTGTGGGTGACGGGCTGTAGGATGGAAATTAATTCATCGCCAAGATGGCGTAAACGCTTTTGAACCCTGTCAACGACTGAAAGGGGCAATCAGGCATCTCCAACCCAGATATGGACTGTTATGAGATCATATATATAATGGCATTTCCCGGAGAAGAAAATGTTTGTAGTGTTAATTCACTCTACGTGGGTAGGTAGTTATATTAAAATCATATTAGGATACGTATATACATAGAACAAACGTCTTTTTATGTTGTTACTACTATACGTTGCTTCTGGATGAACGAATATGGAGATTAGAAAGCGTGAATTTGGACAGTGACTAACCACTGAAAAGTATTTCTCTTAAAATATTTCAAGGAAAGCAGCCACTATGAAATAGTCTTAAACGTGCTCACACTATTCAGGCTCTTTGAATTTATGTCTTGAATGCAAAAAATAGGGAATAATTTGAATTTATTTTTAATCATTTCGCCACCAAAAAAGGCAATAAAGTCACTAAGACGCAAAGAGAGTCTGTCTATATTTCTGAGATGAGGTATTATGTACAGTATTTACATTAAATTAAATTAGTCGGACTATTGTCTACATCTTTGTCGCCATATTTGTCACAACGTTTCGGCCGTTGTACGCTCCGGCCTTCTTCAGGTGGTTGGAATTTCGAACTGAACCCTTTATTCATGCAGCGTGAAGAAAGGGATCGTTCGATGCTTTAAACACCGAGCAAACGTCATAAGTGGTGATCCAGAGACGTTAGATAAGGAATTGGTCAGTATAAGTAGTACCCTACAACGTAACAACTACCCTGGGTACATTCAGCCCCAAAAAACTGGGATAGGCGGTTACAAGAGGAGGAGGAGGAGGACAACAACAGACCCAAAGAAGGTGAGTTCAATACCTGGTTAAGGCAGTGGAGAACTTTCAGAGGAAAATTAAAGATAACTGATAACTGACATCCATCCATTTCATTGACAATCTTGATCGAAATTCCAACCACCGAAGGCCGGAACGTTGTGACAAATACGGCGACAAAGATGTAGACAATAGTCCGACTAATATAAATACTGTACGCAAAGAGAGGTGTGAAAGAATATGAAGAAAAAAAATCATTATCAAGGAGAAAGAACATTAAAATTATAGGAATTAAGAAGACACTATATAACTATTGACATTTTCATTTTAACTTTGAAGATTTATAAAAGAAGAAGCTAGAGAATTCCTCAAGCAGGAAGGGCGGGAGAAGACATTCTTAACATAGAACCTATGTTTACATATATCAATTTCAACTGTAAAATGATGAGACCTAGCTGCCAATCTAGTACTGCGCTTAAATTCGGAAAGTCTAGGAACGCTATGTTACAGCACTGAGAAAGTAACTGATGCTGAGATGTCTGTTCAGTACTAATAACATTGCAGATTCTTCTTTGGATTTTATCAAGATCATCTAAATATCTAAATAAATGCACCAAGAACAAGCGGTATATTAAAACTGTTTTTGAAGGTTTATCGTATAAGAATACAACAAATCAACCCTAATAGTTAATCTATTAATTAAACCGAAGATCATATATTCTGAGACATTTGTAAAATCCATCTCACGATCCTGGGTCCCGTAAAACTTTCGAGAGGCACCACATGTACTGCTATCGCAGTAGAAGTGGTGTGCCTTGAGCAAGATGCCCTGACTGAAACCAACCCTTTTTTAGGTTGGTTTGAATTAAGAATTCCAGCCAAGGCTAAAGAACCCAGTCTGTCCCGCTATTTAATCATAGAGGAGATATTAGCACGTAATTGAATGCAATGAACGAGACTGGATTTTGAACTTGCCTCTCCGTTTCCTCAATCCGAACCACAATCCATTACTCCACCGTGTCTCCTTATATGCAGACAGAAATAAAGGCATATATAATCTTCCTTGGGCACCTCGAGGTGGTGTAATGGTTAGCAAGTTGGTCTCACTAGAAGAATTACGACTGAGTAGTGAGTTCGATTCACACGGGGTGCCTCTTACTTTCGGCCTACGCTTGGAAAATCACTATATATTCTTCCTAATTATACATACATTTAAGTCAGTATCTAAGTGTAACTTTCTAACCTATGAATATTTACATATTTTCTTCGAGCCAATGAGCTGGAATCTACAAGAAGTTGAATTGCAAGTTTACGTGACAGAGATTTGTATTTCATCAAAGTGAACACAGAATATGTGGGAAGAATTTACTTTTTATATTCATATGTTTTATTTTGTTTTCAACAGATAAATATTTTTCAACTTATTTTTGAAGATATTTTATTTGTGTTCATGTTCGTAATTTGTTGAAAATATATAACCGTATTTAGATAAACAGAGATTCTGCCTCAAAGATATAAAAAAAAATAACTTTTGTCATGTCGAAGTGTGAATGATTATCAATCGGCATGTGCTGAATTTATGGCAGTCGTGCTGCCCCCGATTTCATGGACAATCTATATGCCGTTAAATAAATATTTCATTTTAAAAATGATTACATCCAAAGTGTAGAATGCTTATAATTCACTAAACCGGATTTAGCGTGGCTCAAGGTTACACATACGGGGTGCGGAGGGAGATTTGAATCCACTTCACGATAATGAGGGTCGACCAGAAAAGAACTGAGTCAACATTTAAAAATAAGATTAACTAAGTTTGGGCAAGTACCATGCTCAGTATTTACAATGCGATGTAAAAACATGGACGCACCAATAGTAATAAACAAAATATAATACTTATTACATTGTATTTACATTTAACATGCCTAAGCATTTTTCTGATTCGAGAAATGTCAAGTCGCGTCTTTTCATGATCCTGGGATGTCGAATAGAGCGATAGCTGATAGGATTAGTCGAAGTGAGTCATGTGTCCGAAAATTAATGAAAATAAGGGAAATCAAACTGCAACATATAATAGACGTAGCGGATCTGACCGACAGCTAAAAAAACTATCGACAGGAAAGATAGAAACTTGGTTCGTCAATGAAACAATGATTCGCAACAGTACAAGATGTTTCCAAAGCGGCTAGTTTGGCGGTTTCTTCAAGAACAGTCAGACACAGGCATAAAGCAAAAGGCATTCTTTCCAAATATATATATATATATAAAAAAAAACCTTTCGTACAAGGAAAAAATAATCGACAGGCACGGTTGGCTTGGTGGAAAGCTATTTTACACTGGACTAAATCCGATTGGGTAGATGTTGAGTGATGATTCGAACTTAGCTGCCTTATGATCAAACTTAAATTACAACGTGGGATAAGGTTAGCTCCAGATTGAAGCGGTCACTTCAGTGACCAGCCGCAGTGTTGGCAGTTTGAACAACCGGCTACAGTGTGCGATAACACAATTAGGACAAGTGGTCCGCCACTACGATGCCAAGAGTGGAAGGAGATGACTTCCATTAAGTATTTCCTGAAAACACAGTAGATTGAAATATATCAAATATCACCCAATAAGATGCCTCTTTCAAATTCTTATAATTCCCGTTATTTGCTAAGAGAGGCCTAAGCGATATTTAACCCTCAATAAACTAGATTTCAGAAGACAATTTATATAGATGTGTGTATTTAGATGGCATCAAAGTATATGACGCCACCTGCTCTTTAACTTTACACACTGTTAACATAACATTTGTCACATCACTGTATATAAGGCCATAAATTAATTTAATCCTCATTGTTTGTCGCAAACATGAAGCCTTGAACCTGAGTTTAATATATTAGCATTCTTCCGTTTACTAAGATAATGGTGTATTCGCCACTAATATGGTTCAGTTGCTGTGCCAGCTGTGGATCTACATTCAGATCATGCAACGTCAGGCCCTGTTGCAAATACTCCATGTAGAAATAGCATCTGAATCTCCGGGTGCAAATGCTATCTTCTGACATCTGTGCTCCCCACTCGCCGCTGTTAGTCCTTCCTTTTCTCACTCGTCTGACTGCCAAGGCTTTTTAGTTGATACCGTCTGCTGTGTCTGTTCACCAGGCTTATGGGTTGATGCTGTCTGTCTTCATGCCGCGATGGCAAATATCTATATCTTGGCCCGGTAAGTCTAGGGCTTGTGGAAAGTTTTCTCTAGAGTATATTCTTACGTACTGCATGAGGCTGATATGACCTACCCAGCTCAAGAGACCTTGTGAAAATAATACGACATTGTTTAATTCCTCCACCTGTTTCTGGACGAAATTGCTTACAGCACGGTCTTGCCAAATGATGCTGATAATACTTGTACAACAACACAGCTTGACAGCACTGAGTTTGCATTCCTGGCCAGGAGACATGGTCTGTGCCTCATTTCAATTAAGCAACGTACAATGCTAGACATTTTCCTTTTGGCATCTGGTGCTTTTCTGAACCCACTTGCGAGACGTGCCTTTTCCGCTCCTTGTCAGTTATTCTTTTTAGGTCCGCATTCAAGCAGGAGGTGCCTGAATGTTAGGAGCCGAGGTAGGCCATATCCCCTATGAATATCAAGGGTGTAATCACTGATAGAAATGTTCGAGATATTACTGATATCTTTGCCATTGTAAAGTCGTATTATTAAATAATGATTTGTTGCGAACAAATTCGAAGGTCTTTCTTTTTATGAGTCATGTCAATTCAGGACGTAGGTGATCATGGTTCCCCCCATTTATACTTTGCAGCTCTCAACAAGTTCCTTCCCCTTGCTATCTCCTCCAGACCACGTTCTGTCATCCACTTGTTTGAGCGCGCCAGGAATGTCACGTGCTTCTTTCCCTTGTCTCTTTTCCCCTCTATTCGACTCGTGAGTATGAGATTCTCAAGGCCCTCTTTCCTCATTATGCGTCCAAGAAACTTCAGCTGCCTTTTTCCTGATGTTAAGCATGAGCCGCCCCCTTGTCTGTATTCTCTCCAAGATCTCATCGTTGCTCACACGTTCGCCACGAAATCATCAGCATCCTCCTGTAGAAAAACTCTTATGTACTGTGTTGGAAACTCACTACGTCTTACACGCACCTTTTTGTTTTTCCTGAATTAAACAACGCTTTTTAGATATTCATAAAGATGTGAGTTTCCAGGAAGTTCTTTGACAAGCTAATTTATTCACCTTGTTTTCATTTTGCTATTTTCATAAATCCAGGTTGACAACTAAAACGATTGCGTGCAACATTTAGCGCAAATACTTACATTCTAATATTAACACGCTTTCAAATATCTATATATTACCGTACCTTCATACGGGCAATAATTTTGCTTTCTCTTTTGTTTACTGGCTGTCGCACGCACATTTCCAAAAACAAAAAGGAAAAAAAAGAAAGAAATAATTAGATATAGAAGATTCTGTCTTTATCGATTGTTTCTTTGCAATGAAAAATGACGATTTTCCCCTCGCAAAATTTTCATGCCAGTTTCTCTTTAGCCACAATTTTCTATTCGAAAACAAATCATGTTTCCTTCAGCGAACTGACGTGACGATTTGGCTTATATTGACTTATAAACATAACTCATTTCCATCTCTTTCAAGCAAACACCAGCTTTAAGAAACAACTTTTTAAATGATAGCCGAAACACTGAAATGATTTATTTCAATTTCTGTAAGAGTCGTCTTTTCAAAGTTAAATAAAATGAGTATTATAATTATTTAAATGTAAAATTATTTAAATATAGTTAACAATTTTAATTTCTTTCGAAGATGCTGTTAGGAGTTTGTGTAAGACTCACAAAAACTTTAGAAGTACTGTATCTTAATAACAGCAATTGCACACCGTCCATATATAAGGAGGGATGATCCTTAAGAAAATTATCTCTTAAATAACTGATTAGTTTAGGACGTATGCGATCATAACCTCTGAAGTGGCACAACTTCTTCGGAAAGGTAGGCGGAGTCATTTCCCGTTGCCTTCTCCAACGTTTTGACTTCAAAAGTGTCCCTCTGTTAGTATTTACATTAGTCGGACTATTGTCCTCATCTTTGTCGCCATATTTGTCACAACGTTTCGGCCGTTGTACGCTCCGGCCTTCTTCAGTTGGTTGGAATTTTGAACTGAACCCTTTATTTCGCTCATTGGGGTAGACTGTTCTAGTTCCACGTGCCATGTTTGATGGATGTCAGTTATCAGTTATCTCCTGCTAATTTTCCCTCTGAAAGTTCTCCACTGCCTTGTGACAAATATGGCGACAAAGATGAAGACAATAGTCCGACTAATGTAAATACTATATATAATACCTCATCTCAGAAATATAGACAGTCCCTCTGTTAGACTGGTTTTTCTACAAGGCTAAATTCAGCCCTGATATTTACATCATAGCTGTGAGGGATGGGATACGGATCCATGTTTTTTAACTACTCGGGCATATATGCAAAAGTGAATGCAAGAGACTGACCAGGGATTTATAATTCACTTTCCGTTTCGATACCCTTTACACTACCCTCAGTTTAATAAGGGTAGATAGGTTCGTCTATCGTCCGGTTACTCTTTTGAAAAGGAATAGAGGTTTATCCCTTGTCTCTTGTTTTGAGATTGGTTTTGTCCTGATCATTCTCAAGTCTTCGCATTCTTTTTCACTTGTGTCTTAGTGGCATTTTCACCTTGCTTGAGTTGAACTGATTATTTTTTTTAATGTAAACATAATATAAAATGCAAACATAAAATATGCACAATTTAATAAAAAAAAACCCTAAATAATACATCATAATTCATATTAATTTACGGGAAATATTATTAATAGTTTTCTGTTTCTTAATTTATTAAAGTGTTAAAAATGGACACGTTAAATCAAACAGAATAATTAATAATATAAAAGAAAGGTAACAAAATTAACATTAATAGAAAGTGCTTATATCGAAATACAAGATTAGCAAAAATGACAGCCAAACAAATTTACTGATCCTCTCTCATCAGAAAAATGCACCGAGCTGCTAAACAGGAACACAAATGACGAAATAATACTAAAAAATATTACACTTCCACTATTTAATGCTACATCAGGTCTGGTACTTTTGCTATAAACTGCGTCTAGAGATTATATGCAAAAGAAGTATTGTCAAATACTTTATGTAAAATTCATAGATATGTGTTATCCAATGAAATAATTTGTACTATTATGTATAGCGAGTAAGCATTAAAACAAGTAAGTCCCAATTTTCAATTTCAGATTGATATCTAGTATTTTTTCAGTAATTATAGCAATTTGCAGTGTCAAGAGATTATTTGCAAGAACTAGAATTTAGTATTATGGCTCGTAAAAAAGAACTAACAATGAATGGAAAGAACTATATAATCAAAGAAATTAGCAAAGGAAAATCTTCGCTTCAAATTTCTAAGGATTTGAAAAGGGATCATCGAACAATCAAGAAAATATGTCAAATGGGAATGCAACCAAGGAAAAAAAAGTCTCAGGCTGAATTCAGGAATTTAACAAAGCGAGATCTATCACATATCCGAAAAGAATTATTAAGAAACCCAAATGCGTCAAGTGCGTTCATATTTGAGGCCGCTGGAGCTCCTATGGTGTCAAGGGAAACAAGGTATAAAGCATTAAGGGAGTTTGCTGATGTAAAAAATCAAATAAAGAAACCCATTTTAACAAAAAAAAAAAAAAAACGTAAGGAAAGAAGATTGCAGTGGGCAAAAAAATACATAAAAACTGATTTCAGTAAAGTGCTTTTTACAGACGAATCAAGGATCACCCTCGATGGGCCCGATGGATGGGCTCGAGGATGGGTTTGCAAGCAACATGACCCAAGAAAAATTTTTAAACGCCAACAAGGCGGCAGTGGGATAATGATATGGCTGGGATTATTGGTAATGAGCTGGTGGGTCCATTTAAACTGAAAGACGGGGTTAAAATAAATTCCAGAAGTTACTGTGATTTTCTAGAGCAATATTTCTTTGAATGGCTTGATAACCAGTCTTTAGTCAAGCGTAGATCTATGATCTTTATGCAAGAGAACGCACCAAGTCATGCATCAAAGTTTACTAAATCCTGGTTGAAAGAAAAGGGATTTGTTGAAGATTCTCTTATGGACTGGGCTTCAAATAGCTGTGACTTGAATCCCATTGAGAACCTGTGGAGCATCCTCAAGAGAGATATTTATTCTAAGGGAAGGCTATTCAACAGCAAGTGTGACCTCTGGGAGGCAGTTAAAGTTGCTGTAAACAACTTACCAGCCGCTAAAATTGCAAATCTAACATCAGATGTTGACAATAGGCTGCTAAGAGTTATTATAAAGAAAGGAGCATTTGTGCAATAAAATTTAGGAGGTTCTTATTATTTTTTGTTAATATATCTTTTATATTTAAAATAAAACGTTTTTTATGTTCTTCCTTTAAGAAATTGACGAATTTTTTCTAAAATCTTTTCATATTATTTTTTACATTAGTTTTACCAGGTATAATAATGTAAAAGTATCAAAATAAATAGTTGCAAATAAACTACTGACAGTCAAATTAGTCTGTTTTGTTAACTTAGTAAAATTTTTTCCAACCAAAAACAATAGTTTTCTCTATCACTATATATCTAAGTTAATAATATTGAGTAGAATCTAAACATCATAATAGGACTTTTAAAATTAAAGACGCAACTCTTTATACCAATTCATAACTTACATATAATCTCTAGACGCAGTTTATATTTAGAGATTTTAGATAAAATCCAAAGAAGAATCTGCAATGTTATTGATCCCGTCGTGGCATCTCAGCTTCAGTCATTTTCCCACCAATATAACGTAGCCTCCCTTGGACTTTTCTATAAAGAATTTCGTGATTTGTTCCTCTACGGTACCTAGATTTTATGAATTTAAGCGCAGTACTAGAATGGCGGCAAGGTGTTATCCTTTTACAGTTGAAATGGTTAAATGGAACCGTAAATACTAGGCTAATAGTTTCTCCAATCGCACGTCTCGCTTGTTAAACTCTCTTCTGTTTTCTTGCTTCCCAGTCAACTTTGATCTTCAAAAATGTAAATGCAATGTCTATCGTTATCATCTGTTTTCTTAACTATTCTTTTTAATTTTCTCTCTCCTTAATAGCATATTTTCTCATACTCTTTCACACGCAATAAGCCCTTGCGTCTTAGTAGCTTTATTACCTTGCTTGAGGTGTGTTATATACCGTACCTATCAACACTATGCCCGAATTCTCATAAATATGTTGGACACTATTGTAAGCGGGGAAATATGTTGTCTAAGTAGTCCCCCACTAGCAGTGGTTTACCTACTACACGCCGCTGGCGAGTATTGTATTTTTGTTGATGTTATAAAGATTAACATTTTATTTCCATCCTCCGTTTTGGTTATTCTTCATTCAGCAAAACTTTC